TTTATATGCATCAATGTTTAAACTACTGAAGAATTATTTTGAAGATGTAATAGTTAATATTTTTAAAGTCAGTACACACGATCGGAGGCGAAAAACGATGACAGTCGTAAACGGCTCCACGTAGCGCGGTCTATCCACTTTACTGCCTTTAAAAGTTGTTGCTCCTAGTGGCACCATATTTATAATGAATCGAGGATTTTAATCAAAGTGACTGTTATAAAAAAAAAATTATACCAAATATTGTGTCCGAGATAAAAAAAAAATAGAATTCTTAAATCTAAAAAATATTTATGAAGAATGTAGCATCGGAAAATAAGCCAGTGGTAAAAATAATGTGTTTTAAATAAATAATCGTAATAAAATATAGTCACTTGATATGACTTTGAGCATATTTAAATTAATTAAAATATTTTTGTCTCATATTGTTCATGGTCACCCTACTTTGAGGCATTTTATATATTTAAGATTGCTCGATAGAATTCGACTTCTGTAAGTCACATCGATTTGACCACGGAGTGAAACAAATTCCCTTTTCACACTTGTTTCGCGAGTTTTGAGATGACGTCACTTTTTCAAGAAACAATAACATTAGTATGATATGATTAATTTCATCCAAAAATTACTTAAACAGGTCGGATGACCTATTCCGTCTTTACTTTTGGCCGTTATAGTAACCACAGTAGTTCATATAAATATGTTGGAAAAATGTTAGAATTATAAAAAGCAACGTGACAACTGTAAATTGATTTCAACGTATGCCTCGGGTGTCGCCTCCTCCGATCTGTCGGCTGACTGCAAGATACGATTTGTGATTCAAATTAGTTCGACTGCTGACTGCTTCCAAATAGAATTATGAAGCTGGATTTTTTTGTACTATTTAAAACCTGAAAGTTGTTCATGAACAAGATAGTGGTTTGAAAATAGTAGAAACGAATGTACTACTATTATCGTAAAGAGGAAAGAGTAAAAAATATTAAGTCGAAATAAAAATAATCACCTCCCGACGTTAGACTGATCTCTTAAAAAGATTCAAATGCGCTAGACATTGTTTGCAAGATTTAAATTATTTTAAGTGTTGGGAATGTGTCAGCTATTTAACATTCCTCAAATATTTGGTTTTGCCTCCACACATTCCGATGAGTAACGCTTTATATTTTAACGTACAAAAAGACATTTTAAGGTTATAACATTTTTAGAAGGAAGTAATTTTAAAACTTAATTCTGAAAAAGATAATCAAGTGTAAAATAAATTAATACAACAATAAGAAATCATTGAAATAAACAATTAATAAATATTTATTTTCTACTTTATAAAACCTTTACAGCCAAAAGATTTTCTTCAATTACATTTTCTATCTTTAAATATATTCGGACAGATGATATTATTGAGTTGCTTATAATGAAAATCGCATTTAAAACATACATGTCTATCTGTCTGTCTGTCCGCAAGCCGTGTTCTTGGGGTCAATCTCCGAAACGACTGTGCCGATTTCGCCATGACTCACTGAAGGGTAGCTGACATAGACAGGCATATTATAGGCTACTTTTTCTTACGTAGACGAAGTCGCGGTCAACAGCTAGTAGTTTACAATTAGATGTATAGTTAGAATGTATCGTTGACCTAATAATTTTAGGTGATATGGTATTCTATAACTGTGGTATAAAGTTTCGGGGGCGACGTCCTGGACAAAGGTAATTAGGTTCGGGAGCGGCCGGGTCACAGGAATGTGCCAGGTCGCAGATATCAAGCCCGTAATTTGACAGGATCTGCTATTATGGACATGTCAAAGGCACGTTTGACATGCCAGGATTATAAGAGGCCGTTCACACTGCTCTGGAGAGGCAATTTCAAAATCACTTTATCGGTTTCCTCTGAAATACATTTTAGTATTGAAGTGCCAACAATTCAATTGGTTTACTATCTAATGGTTTATGCAAATTGTGGTACTTTTTTCTGTTTGTTGTTTCGTAACTTATATAAATTAATTTTACATAATTATTCAATTCATATAATTTACTTATATGTTAACAGTTTGTATATAATTTTGACACGGATTCATGCGTAATATTTGCTGTTTCATTTCTCAATTAGTGTCGAATTATATGTGCTAACAAATTTGTTTGATTACTGTAGGTAAATATTTATTAATTAAAGTGTACTAGCGCCAACATGTTTGCCTATGTTTTAGTAACAATTGAAAATCATTGTCGATTTATTTGTGTTACAAAAAATCAACATTTATTTTACATTTTATTACATCACTAGCTGTTTCTGTGCGGCTTCATCCGCATGAAATTATGAAAATTTTATTTCATTGTTTACATTTGTCAAATTATCAATAGCAAATGACATGACATGACAAACCTTAGCAATCTTTCTTTCTTGATGTTGGCAGCAACTTATGGTCTCTAAGTTTAATAGCGTGAAAATATATAGCCTAAAGCGTGACGTAAGTGTAGGCTTTTTTATTAAGAGAAGAATTATTCAAAAATATGCTGTAATTACTGACATCTTGGGCAACAAAAAAGTGTGTGTTTACGCTTTATTATAATAGTACAGATATACTGTATAGATAGGTTTTAAAATAAAATCATTTTAGGGAGATATGTGTATTGGTAAAATATGTATAGAAAAAGACATAAAGAATAATTTGACAATCTATTGTATTTATAATGGTTTGAATTCTTGCTTTTTGACCGACTTCCCAAAAGAAGAAGGTGTCAGTCAATTTAGATTCATTACTTAAACGTTACTATACTTTCAATTGTCAATTGTTATGGTACAAATGTAGAAAGCCTTACGTATAAATATCACTGCATATGTACCTTGGCTGACACCGACATCAAAGTAATAGTAATTGTACAATACAGACATAACAGCTACAATAAGGGAGGTTTATTATTTTGAAGGAACTACTTTTCGTTACTTTTTGGTGTACTGTTTTTTGAGAATATTTTGTTTTTAGTGTATTTTGTTTGGAAGTCGGTTTTGTTTTTTTTTCTAAATTGCTGTTAATATTTTGTAGTTTAATGTTCACTAAGGTTGTCGATAACAATACTAAGGGACTATTAAAATGTGCCTTCGCTTAATACGTAAGTAAGTATTGTATGCTTAATTTGCATCTTCCGATATACCAAATCTGGGTAACAATATACTGACGTAACACTAAGTTACCTACGTAAGTTGTGTTTAAGTTTACTGACCTGTAGCATTAAGTTACGCCCGTGGATACATCCCACATCTATGATTGGGGTTCCTAACTTGTAATCTTAGAAAACAGCACTTCCGATATGAATACAAACATTAAGTATTTGTGAATAAACAAAAATTTGTAAAGCAAATTATATGTCTAATAGAAAGTTAAGAAGATAATTAAACCATACATAGGCTTTTACTACCTTTCACTCGCGACTCCGTCCGCGTGGAATTGAAAAAACAAAAGTAAGCTACCTATGTGTTCTTCCAGACTATCGTCTACATCTGTACCAAATTTCATCGAAATCGGTTCAGCAGTCTAGGCTATAAACTATAACAAACGTCCATCTATCCATTCATCCATCCACCTGCGACTTCATCCGCATAAAATTATGAACATTTTATTTTATTGTTTACATTTGTATAATTATCAATTACAAATATCAAAATTACATAACATGATGACAACCTTGCTTCCTTGATGTTGGCAGCAACTTTCTCTTTCCCACATTAGGGTTTTTATCCAAAATATTTACCCCCTAAGTTTAATGGTGTGAAAATAAATAGCCTAAAGCGTGATGTAAGTGTAGGGCTTTTTATTAAAGAAAGAATTATTCAAAATATGCTGTAATTGCTGACATCTTAGGCAACAAAGAAGTGTGTGTTTTCGCTTTATTATAATAGTATAGAAGTATAGATTAAAAGTAAAACTAAATCTATCGAAAGCTATTTACTATTATATTTATAGTCTGACGTAGTACGCTTCTATTTAAATGTAAACTACATTTGACTTAATAAAGCTCCGGCTAACAACTGGGAACCGGAAAAACATGCCGGAACCGCACTTCCGGTGCGATAGCCTACACGCAATCCATGTTTGATTGAACCTCCATTGTTCCAACATTACTATAAAGTATTATCTTGTCCAATAAAACGTTTACAAAATAAGTAAACAAAAATTACGTTTTAAGTATAAAACCAATTTGCTTTAATTCAAGTTTTGATAATAATTTCGCCCCTAAAACTAAATAAAATACCTCTTTTACTTTACACTCAAAGACTTTTATAATTTTTATACTCCACAGATTACCTAAACGATCTTGAGTAACAGTGAAACTGAAATGACGTCATTACGAGTCGACAGAGCGCGTCTGTTAGTAATGGTGCGAATTAAAAACAAATCAATAATACTCGAGTATAGTGCGCTTCAAATAACATACAATTATAATAAACGTACTAAAAATAACAGAGACAATGTGAAAAAGTACAAATGTATACAATATTAATTATTAGTACATTTTTTAAACACGTTCTGATTTAACAGATAAAAAGTACGAAAAATCAGTTATCAGTTAAGAATTTTATTTAATCTACATTACGTCGATGTGAAGGAGGAACTGCTACTGATTACAACATTCCAAAATAATCTTTAATTTGTAGGGCAATGTACTGTTCTAATTGTTTAAAAAGGTTCAATTAATTACCTAAAAACATTCAAACGAATCAACATGACCTTTTTTGAAGACATAAAAACTAAAGCAAACATAATCAGGAAGTCTATAATACCGGTCTATGACTACAATTGTCAAATTGATTTCTAAAATACATTTCACAATTTAACGTGAAAATTCCACACCATTAATATTCATGTCAAGGTGACCAACACTCGATATTTTCACTATATCTTACACGAAAACTTATCTCGCTCGCTATACGCTGTCAGTTTTCTGATAACAGCTCGGGATGCGATGGCCCCTGATAACAGCGATAAAGCCGCATTAAATACTAGTATTATTCTAGACACTATGACTAACGTCGCTTTAGTAGTGGGAGCTGCGAGCAATTTAGGTTTTAATGTACTAAAAAAACTCACAACAGTGTACAAAGGGAAGATATATTTTACAACAGAAGATGCCTCCACGGGATACAACATACAAGAAACGTTGGAGAAAACAGCTGATGTTGAATTTATACAAATGGACATCACTTATACGAAGAGTATAATCAAATTGAGACATCACATACAAGATCTGGATGAAAGAATTGATTTGTTAATAAACAATACGGAATACGTACAAACGGATAAGAAAATAACCCATGCTGAAAAAGTGAGACGGACATTAAGTGTAAATTTCTACGGTTATATAAATTTCGGGAAATTAGTCTATCCAATATTAAGTGACAACGCAAGAGTAGTGAATGTATCAGGACCGGCAGGTTTACTAGCTACAATAGAAAATGAAGATATTAGAAGAAGAATAAGCGATCCTTATCTCACAGAAGATGAATTAGTAGCGATTATGCAGGAGTACGAAGAAGCTGCTAGAAAGGGAATCGAGAAGACGGAAGGCTGGGGTTTGAGTGTGACTGCAGTTAGCAAAGTATCTCTAAACGCAGTTACATTTCTTCAACATCGAGAATGGTCTGATAAAGGAGTTGTAATAAATTGTGTGAATCCTGGAAACATTTCTACCAGAGAAGGAAGGAAGACGACTAAAGTATATGAAGAAGGTGCTAAGGCTATTTTGTATTTGGCTTTGGAAGCTCCGTTAACGATTAAAGGCAATTTTGTATGGAGTAATTATAATGTTATTGAATGGAACAGTGATCCGTACGTCGAAGTGACTACTGTCTAATTAAGGACTAATCTATTTCTTCTCTAATTAATTTATTCTTATGCTTTAATAGATGTTCTTTTCTGTGCGTCATAGATGTAGTTTATCTAGAAACTAGCTATTCCCAAGCGACTTCATCCGCATGAAAGTATAAATTTTCATTTTATTGTTCACATTTGACAAATTATCAATTACAAATGTCAAAATGTCATAACATGTGTAATGTCAAATCATGGCAACCTTGTTTCCTTGATGTTGGCAATAACTTATAGTCTCTTTCCCTCATTAGGGTTTTTATCCAAAATATTTACCCATAAGTTTAACGGCGTGAAAATATATAGCCCTAAGCGAGACGTAAGTGTAGGGCTTTTTACTACAAAAAGAGTTATTCGAAAATATGCTATGATTGCTGACAACAGAGAAGTGTGTGTTTACGCTTTATTATAATAGTATAGATGAATCTGTTTGTGTAATATTTTATTTTAAAGACTAATTATTGTTTGTGAAACGTGTGCATAAATACACACAATACGACTTATTTTTTTTCGTTTGCTCTGCCACGCCTATCATGTATCATGTGATATTCTCATTATTAAAGAAGAAAAATTAACATAAACCATTTATATAACAGCACATCTGAGCTAGTCAGTAAAATGTTTTAAACCTACGTGTATGGGACGGTTTTAATGGATATCCAATGTGTGTACAAGGTGTGTACCTTGTACAGTCAACTGACGTAACAATTTGTTTTGGCTATTTGTATTTGTATTGGAAACTCGTATATGGTGGATTTTGCATTATCTAAATACTTAGTACAATACGAGTAGCCATTAAAAAAATGTTACATTCGTGTCATCACAAAATAAGTATTCTAAATTCCACCCATGTCTCTTTAACGCGCACACCACGTTCTTGGAAGTTTTATAACTTTAAAGTTTACATTCTACAAGTGCATAATTACAGAGCTTAAAAACTTGTTCACTTACATAACATAATATTCTCATATTTTAAATATACGAAAATGAAAGAAGCATCTGATTATTTCATTTATACTTTAACAGTTGTAGAGCCGTGATTACATCGTGAGTTTTCACTGTTAATATATCTGTATAAAAACTATTGTTATCCCTGTTCTTTCAAAGATAATGACAGTGACAATAACATATTTTGCACAAATGTTTCAACAGTGGAAACGGTGACGGAATACAGACGTGATATTACAGACCTATTTATCTGCAGATGCCGTGGTAATTACTGTCGATTTTAGAATCCTGGCTTAAAATGCTCTAGTCATTGAGTCATTGGGTACATCATTATTTATGTACTGGCCAGTCCGCTGGTAATGTATTATCTTATCTCATATCGAAACTGGCGTTAACGGAATTCACTGACTCTGAATATTTCGCGTGTAAAGTGATATTGTTATCGACATTGTTAGTACATTACATGTTTTTATAACAAATACTGACTTAAATAGGCATTGTTACAATCACTATAATTTAATAGTTGAACGCCAACTGTCTAATTGTTAAGAGAGCGGAGTTCCGAATGAATAGTCGTGGGTTCGAATCTTATAATTCAAGTGTCATAAACTGAATCCTACCACAAAAGTGAAGCATACTCGAAATTACTGAAAGATATTCCAGTAAAAAAATCCGCTAATACTAGCTATCATACTAATGTTATAAATACGAAAATTTAGATGTATGAATGGATGATTATTAGAGTTTGTAGTCTAAACTACTTAACGCATTACGTTGAAATTTAGCATAGAAGTAGCGTAATTTTTTTTATAACATTTGGTGACAAACGAGCAAGCGGCCACCTGAATCCACCGAAAGGGCATATCGACCGCTGCCCGTAGACATCCGCAATTGCAGATGCATTGTCTACCCTTATGCGACGGAGGAGGAGACGCACATAAAGAGGATATTTCCCCTTCCTATGCATCTAATCCGCCGTCAAATCCACTTCCCCTTTACATCGTCTGCTTATAAGAAAATAGTGGTAAAGAGAAAGGGACTTAAAGGCCTCTGGCACCACACTTCAGACAAAACTCTGAATTTCTTCCATTTCACGCCTGTCTTCTGTGTGGTCGCGGTATTACACCGGGCGTGCCGGTCCATTCGTTCTAAGATGTTAAAGCGGGCACTACCACTGTTAAAACTGAACAAGGATTACTGCAGAAATAATTAAACTCACAAATTCCTTAGTTACTATTTAACTGAAAGTTTAAATTACACAATTATCTACATTTAAATTAACAAGAACTTATCAAGTTAATCAACTGTGTAAGAAAACAGAATCTTGAAGTCATCGATCGTACAAAAAGACTGCAGTCTGTAAAAGTTCAATTAATTAACTTCTTAACTAGAAAAAGTTTAGAACTAGTGACAGAAGGGGGCGCTGCAAGACGTTGTATTAAATATTTTTGTTCGCAACAACTTTAATTGGAATTAGATATAAAACTGGATAGCGGTTACTTGATACGTTTATTATAAAGAAATACAATGAACAAACATAAACGTAAACAAGACAATACTTAAACGAAGTATTCAAGATAATTTGTAAGAAAATTTTTAAATATAACACCGCGATCAAAGCATGTACATAAATATAATATGAACAAAAAAAATAGTTTACTAACACATGCATTTAGTAACGTTAATACATTCATCTTTGTTTTAAAATAGACACACAAATGAGTGACAATAAACGCAATAGGTAGAGGTAACATGAGCACAACTGTAGGTGAACGAAGTTGAACAGATTGGTGTTGCGTTAGCTTGTTAAAAGTTTTAGACGCGCTAACATTTGTTAACATAGAGGTAAAATTGCTACGATACATTTAAAGGGTGGTCTCTAATTATAAGGTATACAAAATGAATGTTAATTTAACAACATAAAAGTTAGAATATAATTCCATTTTATAATTCGCATTTATTATTTTGTAAGCATAAAAGTGAGACTGATTTTATTACTTGTATAAAGGTATCGTAGTCGACAAAAAAAGTAACCAATTTTGTATTCAAAATAGAATAAAATCCCGGGGAAATCTTTCAAATTCAACATCATTCAGTAAATAACTCCTTGTACGTTGGAACTAAAAAAAAAATCTAAGAAGAATATCGACAAGAGGATGCCGACAATAGTTGCGCAGTGAGCTTAGTGCTTCAGCGAGGAATCTCCGAACAGTCGCCGGATCTTCGGTTGACAAATTGCGCTGCCAACTGTACATCGCTTACGTCCCCAATGCTACTGCATTGTCACTCGCTAAGCTGATAGAGAAAGACATTATTTGGATCTTTACTGATTGTTTAAATAGATAATTGAAAATATACCTCATTGTAAGCTTAAATACAAAAAAGTGATTACGAAAGGTCTCATGCAGTGACAACGGGAACATACATAAGTATCAAAACATTAAAAAAAAATCTCTCTCATGTCTGATTTCTCTTCTATATGTTTTCTTCCTCTTTCGTACAAGAAAAGGATGAGAAGGGAAGTAAATTTGACGGAGGATGGGACGCATAGATAGGGGAAATATCCTCTTTTGCGTTTGTCTATGGACAGCCGTCGCTTCTATTCAAGCGAATTCCAATGGCCGTTTACCCGTTTGTCACCTTATACTATAAGAATAGCTTCAAATTAAACGATCGTCCATTGTTTTGTTTAAAGTAGGTTTGATTCCTTTCATCATTTAGTAGCAACGTAAATAAAATCCAAAAGTAAACTTTTCCGTTCTTGCAGCTTCCTGTCATCCGATATTCACAATCGAACGGGCAGGTAAAGTTATAGGATAGTTCGTTAGGAAGGTCTGAGCACATGAACTAGCAACTTCCCCCGGCGCGCCCTCTACCCGCTGCACAACTTTGTCGATGGATAGAGATGTAATGCAAACGTGCAGGTAGCAAACTTTTAACAAGCACTTATTCTTGATATCGATGTCTAAAATGTTGATATTCTTTGATGTTATTTGACTTTTGAATAGTGAACGGAAAAACATCATTATATCACTGTCTCTGCAACATTAATAACTACAACTTTCTACACTTTTCATCTCAATATATTGATACATTAAAATTCTATTTATTATTTTTTTACACTCACATCAAAGAGTACATCTTTCTCTTTTGAATTTCCATAAACAAGTTAGTCCATTGACTCCGCAAAGCAAAGGGGACTCGAGTTTAGAAATTCCTTTCTGTTTCGGTGCAGTTTTCGCGCCAAATTACTGGAACAAATAAAGCATGACAGCTTGTCATATAGCATTCCCGCTGACACGGTGCGCGGCGAGCTGCGGCGGCGTCGCGTGTTTGTGACGCGTCATTACTGGCTCTGCGGGCCGTCGCCGCGAACCAACCGGGCGACACGCGGCAATCGATATACTACAATGCGATTTACCACTTATATTGTATCGTGGTTTTTTTATACAGTTGTATTAATTGTTATTAATTGGTTATTTCACATAGCAAAAAAAAGTGTAAACAACTAAGCAATTTATTTAACAAATTTTTACGTATCTTCAACGAAACATCTGACTGTTCAGTTATACTGTCAATTACAAATGGTCGTGAAAAATATTATTCGATCACCAGTGCATAACATCGTCACTTACCTTTGAAGAATTTCATAACTTACAAAGAGACGCTGCACACAAAATGCTTGAAACATTCAAGAAACGGTTGTCTTAATATTTGAGCACCGTCTACAGCTGCACTAGCTCCTAAACATTTCTGTCGTACATTATTAAGTAACATGGAACATAACGCTGTTGCATCACTTTATTTCGTATTTTCTCTATAAAATAAAAGCGGAAATTAATAGCGTTTAACAAAATATCTTAGAAAAAAATGCCTCGTAGACTTCATCTGGCTTTCGATTATTTTGAAAGGTTTATTCCATAAATAAGAAAATAACTTACTAATATTATAAATGCTAATGTTTAGATGGATGTTTGTTAGAGTTTGTATAAAACTCGTAAAACACATTGGTACATGGTGGATATTGAACCCAGGATCTGAAGATAACAAGTATACTTACCGGTGAATTTCCACTACTCACTCAAAAAATAACCTAATTCCATGATAACATAGTTTAAACTGCAATGCATCCAATAAACGTTGTTATGCCGCGAGCACCTCTCTTAGTGAAGCTTCAAAACATTTTAGATGCGCTAAGTATTG